GGTGTTCACCGGTTTGGATAAAAACCGATCCAGATCGAAAAATTGAACCAAACTGATTAACTAAACCGATTTTTATTTGGGTTAGGTGTGGTTTGGTTTTAGATTTTTAAAATCCAATAGTATATGGGTTGGTTATGGTTTTGTTCGAAAAAACCCGAAGAAATAACCGAACCGAATCGACAAATTATATAATATACATACATAATATATTATTTTTATAAACAATTTTTAAAGATCTTATATGTGTTTTCATCAAAATTTATTTATAATTTACTTATGAAAGAAAAAATGTCCAAGGTGAGAATATTTATCTTATTGATTTTATGTATATGAGTGTGTCTGTGACAATTCTTTATAAGATTGAAAATATCACTTTTCTCTTTCTTCTAGGCCAAAATAATGAATTTTGAGTAAATTCAATGATTGAAAGTTCTATAATGTCAGTCATTCTAACTATTTTCGTTTTAAATGGATTGTTGTCAATTTTTTCATGTTTTGAATGAGTTGTTTCTTTTATTTTTGTCTATGGTTAATAACCGAATAACCAAACCAAACCGAACCAAAACCGATAACAACCAAACCGATAAATATATACTATATATGGTTTGGTTTAGTTTTGATAATTTTAAAATCGATTAAGTTGATTTGGTTTTAATTTTAACTAATAACCGATTCAAACCGACCCATGAACACCCCTATAATTATAAGAATGAGCTCTGCAATGACAATAACTAGTTAATAGGCGTTCATTATTCATCAGTTTAAACATGCATTTTCCCTCTTCTAAATTTAGACTCATCACACACTTATTCTAAAATTATTTAATTATACCATTTTAAACACTTATATTAATTAGCATAAGATACACATGTTCAGAAACAAATTAATTAGAATATATTAAGTGTTTTAATTCAATAAAATCTCTTCAAAACATAGGTATTATTAAAAAAAAAATTGTCTGGAAGAAGGTGACACCTTTTGTACTCTTGTTATGGTTAAGTTCTAGAGTAGTGTATTACTTCCAATTTTAGTTGAAAAATGCAATTCAATTTTTAAAAAAATTCAAAATTTTGGTGGAGGGGGAATGTTGTATAATAATTGACTCAATTTTTCTTATTCTACAATAAGAAATATAGGAAAATATACAACAAAAAATAAAAAAAATTATGGAGGAGAAAAAAGCTTAAATTAATGTTGACCACAAAACCAACTAGTTCCTAGAAGACTCCATTTTGTTGTTAATCTAGTTTCTAGGACATTCAAAAAAGACAAAAATAAAATAAAAATGTCCATGTCAAAAAATAAAAGCCTCATCAAAATGTCCACGTAATATAGACAATCTACCATCGTGTGGTTATTATGAATTTGTAATCCAAAAAAATAGTAAATTTTTTCATAATACTACAAAAATTTATGCTATATAAATTCTCTTCCTTCCCTTACTATTCTATCCAACAATCAACTAATTTAGCTCACCAAAAAAATATAAAAAATAAGAGCTTGTGATCAATCAGTCGTTTGATTTTCAAAGTTGTCAAATAATATTTTTTTTTGAAAAAATGGCTAGCTCTGTGTCAACTGTTGCAGCTGCCAACAAAGTACTGGTATTTTATTTTATTTTTCTTTATACTAATTTAATATACATGTCAACTTGTTTATTATAGTTAAAATTGAATCTGATGTGTCTTTATCTTTGTTTTAGCTAGAAAACAATAATGATTCATTTTTTGTTTAGTGTCTCATGCAGTCAAATTCTACTACAAACAAAAGTACACTTGTATCTTATGTACATTAATGTTAGTTATATACTGTCAAATGGGATGGTATAAAAGAAATTCAATGAAAATAGGAGTAGTATATTGCCCTAGTGCCTTAGTTTAAGACTTTAAGTGGCAAAGATTTAGAGACTTGTGACTGAGGTCAGAGGTTCGTAACTAAGTCTGGTATTTAAATGGAGAATGGTAAAGGACGGATTTATTATCTCCGAGTTTCAAAGGCAGCCTTAGTCCATGGGATGCCAAAGATGAATTTCTCGGTTATAGAAAAAAAAAGAGTAATCCTTGCGTCCCAATTTATGTGAGGTGTTTGATTGGGCACAAATTGTGAAACTTGTAGTCTAAAGTAATCTATAGAAATTTTCGTGATTAAAAATTGTTTCATCAAAGTAAAATGATAAGTTTGAAGTTAAATTGTTTCTAAATATAGAAAGATCTCATATTTTTGAACGGACTAAAAAGGAAAGAGTGTCACGTAAATTGGGGCGCAAGGAGGGAGTACTATATTATTAATTTGTCTTAGTTAAAGACTAGAAGTTGGATAATATTTGCCATTTCTTTGATGGGAATGCTTATTTGTGTGGAAAACTAGCAAGTTCTATCAAACTAAAGTAGTTCTATGTATGAGTGCCTCTTACTAAGAAAACATGAATCATTGATGCAGTTGAGTTTGAACAACTCTGTTGCTGGAAATTCAGCTCCAAGCACTGTCTTCTTTGGCAAAACCTTGAAGAAGGTGAACGCGAAAGGCACTTCTAGCCCCAAGGTTTCGAAAAGGAGCTTCAGGATTGTAGGAGCACAAGAAATAGACGAGAAGAAACAAACGGATCAAGACAGATGGAAGGGCCTTGTGACGGACATGTCTGATGATCAACAGGACATCACCAGGGGAAAGGGTATGGTAGACCCTCTTTTCCAAGCTCCTGTGGGTACTGGTACTCACCATCCTGTCTTGTCATCATACGAATACATCAGCCAGGGTCTTCGTCAGTAAGTCTCTCGACTAATTTTTGAAAGTTGAGGTACAATTGTGTAAATATAATCCTTCCGAATATATGAATCTAAAATGAAAACGTTTGCTTGATTGTTATTTCCAGATACAACCTGGACAACACGCTGGATGGATTCTATATTGCTCCGGCTTTCATGGACAAGCTAGTTGTCCACATCACAAAGAACTTCTTGACATTGCCCAATATTAAGGTCTCTTATTAAAATTTAGCTTACAACTTTTATCGTTTCATAAGTTGAATGGTTTTAATTTAAACAATTTTTCTTACAGGTACCACTAATTTTAGGTATCTGGGGAGGGAAAGGTCAAGGGAAGTCATTCCAGTGTGAGCTTGTCTTTCGAAAAATGGGAATCAAGTGAGTATTAATGACTTGACACATAAGATCATTTTGTTGTAGTCGATAAATTTTCAACTATGTTTGAGTCTGGATTATTTGCAGCCCCATCATGATGAGTGCTGGAGAATTGGAAAGCGGAAATGCAGGGGAGCCAGCAAAATTGATTAGGCAAAGATACCGCGAGGCAGCTGAAATCATCAGGAAAGGAAACATGTGTGTCCTGTTCATCAACGATCTCGATGCAGGAGCTGGTAGAATGGGTGGAACTACACAATACACAGTTAACAACCAGATGGTGAATGCTACCCTCATGAACATTGCAGATAACCCGACAAATGTCCAGCTCCCCGGTATGTACAACAAGCAAGAGAATGCCAGGGTCCCTATTATAGTCACTGGTAACGACTTCTCCACATTGTATGCCCCTCTTATCCGTGATGGTCGTATGGAAAAGTTCTACTGGGCACCAACCAGAGAAGACAGAATTGGTGTATGCAAAGGAATTTTCAGAACTGACAGCGTACCTGATGAGCACGTTGTAAGGCTTGTCGATGCCTTCCCTGGACAATCTATTGGTAAGAACACTCAAATATGTAACTATACAAAACGTACTACCAAATGATGATAACTTATGGTTGTATTTGTTCTTAAAACAGACTTCTTTGGTGCTCTGAGGGCAAGAGTATACGACGATGAAGTCAGAAAGTGGATTGAAAAAACTGGAATCGAACAAGTTGGGGAAAAACTATTGAACTCTATCGAAGGACCTCCAAAATTTGAGCAACCAAAGATGACAATTGACAAGCTCCTCGAGTACGGATACTTGCTTGTCCAAGAGCAAGAGAATGTGAAGAGAGTTCAATTGGCTGACAAGTACCTTAAAGAGGCAGCACTTGGAGATGCAAATGCGGATGCCATCAACATGGGGAACTTCTAATGTTTACTAAAACATAAAGAAGACGTTTGATCTTCGTTCCAACGATAGGATTTTACAAGTGATGAAGGAACCTGTTTCTTCAAAGTTTTCGGAGAAACTTTTGTGAAAGTAGAAATAGGACACAAATTGTGTAATCTGTTCAGTTCTGTTCAATATAAGAGAATGTTGTGTGTCCCAATGATACGCCTTGTCATTTATGCACATTTTGACACAAGACCCGAAGAATTTGATTTGCATATACAAATAATCTAAATTTCAACAATAATAACATATTAGCAAATATTTCAATTCAAAAACTGAAAAATAGATGGTACATACTAAAAGTTTAGGACTAGAATGAGAAAAAAATAGAAGAAAAGTCAAAACACCGAAAAATAAAAACAGAGGTAGAAGTAGCACTCAAGTTTGAAGAATAAGAAGAGGAAAAAGAAACAGAGGAAGACAAAATCTGAAGAAGAAATATGTATTGGTTGGACTTTGGAGTCAGTCACCGACTTGTTGAATCACAGTCTAAGAGTGCAACTATGCAAATTTAGAAAGAAAACCCTAAAATTACCTTTTAACTTTTAAAACCCTAAATTGGTGCCTCTTTTTTTTTAGAAAATACAATAGTCAACACCTTTCTCGCCATAGTGTTGCCTTTTGAAGATCGCCTTGCCACAAAGCTACGATGAAGGGTCACTGGCAATCGCCTTTCAGAACATTGGTCCATTCATTATGTTTGCAATTGTTTGTTGCTCAATGAAATTAATTACTAATATTATGTCTATAATGTGTATTTTAGAGAGTGCTCATCTTACAACGTTTTTTAGAACAACAGGGGAAAATATCTTTACTAATTTGAATGTTCTATACTAAAAACCTGTTTCTCTCATACAAAAGAAGAAAAAAAAACAATTCTCAAATTGACTAAAATCAAAATAAAATAATCTTTCACATCAAACGTTAACTGTTTCTGTGAAAGGCAAAACTCTTGCTCTGCATATCGGGCAAACTTTCCTGTTCAACAGCGCCTGTTTGATGCAATCCGTATGATATTTGTGTCCGCAATGCAGTTCTCCAATGCTCTCTTCGTCTTCATATTCACATTGGCATATAGCACAAATATCTGATTCTACTTCGAAATCGATTTCATCTTCACCATAGTAAGTTCTTATTTTCAAATACTTCAACAGATAGTCCTCTTTCACCTCATGATCATGATTATCATCCTCATTATCATGATTATACGGAGCACCAAAATTGGGGCCCCTTGAAGTACGCGGATTATAGCTTCGTTGTTGTTGACGTTGTTGATGATTGCGATAATTGGGTGAAGAATCAGTATGTGTGCAATTACGTGAAGAACGATGAGTTTGTCGATTATTACTCATTATTTCTTTTTTGATCAAGAAATTAGTTCTTTTTTAACAGAAAAATAATGTTGCTAGATACAAATATAGTTTCGATTCGAGCAAAGTATTAATAGAGTTTAATTTGAATGAGTTTACCATTCTAATTTCCATTAATATGTTTTACTAATTTTAGTTGGATTCCTATTTTGAATCGATTTGGGCTTCGAAAATATCCTTTATTCAATTTGTTAAAAACAGCTTTTAGTTGGATTCCTATTTTGAATCGATTTGGACTCAAATAATTTTTAATGACAATTATGATTTTGTATTTAGAACTTTATACAATTTGTTAAAAAGAGCTTATGATATCATGATCTAAAAAATTTCATATATTACCGCAGATATAACAAAAGAAAGTAATGTGAACAAGTTTAGATGCTCAACAAGTACATTGCCAAATATAGGTGCCTAATGAAAAAAGGGAAAAGGGTCAAAAATACCCCTCAACTTTATTTTATTAGTTGACTTTATCCTCGCCGTTAAAATGAAGTTAATTTTACCCCTCCCGTTACTAATTTCACCAAATTTACCCCTCAATTGGATGGAAAACCCAAATCAACTAAAATTACCCAATTTCAAGTAAATGACCCGATTTTCTCTTTTAATCCGAACCCGACCCATTTATATCAAATTAGAACCCTAAACACATCTCTCTAATCTTCTCCATCTCCTTCTTCCATTGAAACACATACTACTAAAATTGACAGCAAATGTTCTGTAGTTAAACTCATGCATAATTGTCCTTCCTACTAAAATTGCACCACTATTTCGTAATTTTGACACAGAAACCTCATCTGCCTTCACTTGGCAAACCTCATGAAACCATTTAGAACTACCTGCTCTTTTTAACAGGGAAAAATGTTCAGCAAAAAATGACAGAGATATTTATGGCTTGTATCTCCTACAATTTAAGTAAAACATGCTAGAAAATTCCATTTTTCTTTTTCTCTATGAACGTTTACAAATGATACATAGCATTAGCTAATTAATTCCTACAAGTTGAATGACCATTGAGTTATTAAAAAAAAGGTGTCTATCTTTTCACTCTGTATGTACTCTTTTCGTTCCAATATATATAAATAGATTTATTTTTTTAAAATTAACAGATTGTCAGAGTTAAGTAAACAATAGCTGTACTTGTACTATGAGGGGGAGAAAAAGAAGCATAGTGGAAGCTTTTGATGTGAATTAGTTTGTGGGGGAAAAAGGGGAAAAGAGTGTAATCAACAGTAGGGGAGGGGAGTAACTGAGTATGCTCTACCTCAGCCTTGATTCTCGCCTGATTGTGTTGTTGGTTTGATCTGTTAGCGGTGCTTCAGTTGTTTTCCGATGGGGTTTTGGTCGGGGTTTTGTTGGTTGGTTGTTTGGAGGTCGGAGAACTGGTGGTCTGGTGGTCATTTGCTGGTTGTTTTAGCTTGGGTGATGGAGGTCTGAAGTGTGGTTTTACCACTGGATTTTGGTGTGGAGAGGGTGGTGTTTGAGAGCTGTTTCAGGTCGGTTTCGCAGTTGTTTGAATGATTCCGGTGGTGGGTGGTTTGCTTAATGTTGTTCCAGCTTGGAACTGGCCGGAAATGGAGAAGAAATGTCTTGTTGTCGTCACTAGAAAGTAGAGGAAAATGGGTTTGTTGTTAATGTTTTCTGCTTGATGTCGTTTCTGGTTTTTGGGGGTTTTGAGTGGTGGTTTTCAGGTGGTCGTTTGGAGGTTGTTTTGGTGGTGTTTCGCCGGAAAAACGGAGAAATGAATGGGGATTGTCGGAGCTTGATTTGGGGTTTTAATTTGGTATAAATGGGTCGGGTTCGGATTAAAAACAGAAAAAATTGGGTTATTTAATTGAAATTCGGTAATTTTAGTTGATTTGGGTTTTCCATCCAATTGAGGGGTAAATTTGGTGAAATTAGTAACGGGAGGGGTAAAATTAACTTTATTTTAACGGCGAGGGTAAAGTCAACTAATAAAACAAAGTTGAGGGGTATTTTTGACCCTTTTCCCTATGAAAAAAATGTGAACAAGTTTAAGAGGCTGCATATGTAATTGGCCAAAAAAAAGAACATACGAAATATCAAAATTAATGGCCTAAAGGCAAATCGTAACAACAATTACATGATCCATTCTCTTCCTTGTAAGTTATAATCAATGGAAAGCCTGTAAAAGTTGAGAAAGGAATTGGAACGTTGGGGTTATTCAGCGTATTACTATCAAAAGCAAAAACTATTACGATTCAAAAAGGAAAGCCTATTATTATAGGTTGATTCGTTTATGCTAGGGATGTCTTAACCCCTAGGCCAATAAAGTCATCGCATGGGGTCCCATATTTTTTGGGGCTTCAATTTTTTTTTACAAAATTACTTATAAATGTAATTTTTAAAAATAATAATTATATGTACTATGAGTGCTAAGATTTCTACTAAGGAAATCGCTTATGAAATGAATATAGAACTTTAATTTCATAAGAAACAAATTGATGAAAATATTGATAACGAAATCACAAAGTCCCTTGAAATTAGAGTTGACTATATATATAATTTTATTTTTTCACTTCAAAATAGATTTGAAGCACGTGAAAATATTTTTTGATTTCTTATTTAATGGTAAATTGATATCACTAGATAATGAGAATTTTTTTTTAAAAAAAACATTGTCTTAACCTTGAACTTTCTTAACGCATACTAATAGTTATTCTGCTATTGATGGTTTAGATTTATTTTTTGAATTAAAAGTGCTAAGAAAATATTTTAGAACTTTGAATTAAGCCACTCAATCTTCATATTAATAAATATTTTTTTTACATCAACATCCAACGTGATGTATTGCAAACAAATGTCCATCATCTTATTGACTAGAACTAATCCTTATTTTAATATTACTATGTGAAGTTAAACACTTAGTGTATTTTCTAAGAATATACACGAACTAATTCTTACTTTAATACTACTAAAGTTAAACGATTAATGTCTTTTAAAAATATACACTACAAACAAGTATGCAAAAATTGGGTCCCTTTAAGTACGCGGATTATATGCAAAAATTGGGGCCCTCGAAGTACACGGATTATAGTAGTCCGAAACCAAAAGGGCAACAAATTTTTTTGAAAATTCCAAAAGGATAACTCAATTAATTATGAAACCAAAAGGGCAACAATTGTTAACACCGTTTAAATTAGGTTTTTAAAAAGGAGGCTCAAATTTTAATAAGCCTTACAAGGCTCAAATTCCTATGAGCCTTGTAAGGCTCAGCCGCCAATGAGCCTTGCAGGCTTTTTTTTATTATTATAAATATTCTCGTTTTATTTTGTTGTTTGTTAAAAAAGTCTAATAATAATACATAGTTGTTGATATGATGCATAAAATGCTACTTTTACGCCAGTGGGGGATGAAATTTATTGGCCTCCTGTCGCATTTAGTTTGGTTGCAAATACTGAATATTTGTGAACATCTACTAATCAATGCACAAGGCGACGCAAGAATGAAATGGATATCGCTCCAGCTCGTATGTCAAGAAAGTGTAGTATATGCAAGGAAACGGGACACACCAAGGCTCGTTGTCCTCGTAGAAATCCTTTGTAATATAAGTATTTAACTTTTAATATTCATGTTTATGAGTAACAAAATTGAGTTCCATTTATTTTAAGCATATAGTTAAATTTTTAATATTATAAAAACAATTTATCAATATCGAAATAGTAATAAAGACATAATTGAGTTCCATTTATTTTAAGCATACATGTTAAATTTAAAATTTACCGTCTTATAATTTTATAAATAAAGTAATATCATAAGACTTTACATGTTAAATTTAAAATTTAGAAACAATAATTATTTTTCAAAGATATGACCAAAAAGTGATTGGTGGGAATAACGCTATTTCTAAGAAATTCTTTTATCCCCATGAAATTCTACTATTAGAGCAGAATAAATTTGAACCTCTTTTAATATTATTATTTTTTCCTTAGTTGGACTAAATCTTACAGATTTTAATTTAATATATAATATAACATAAAAAGAAAAAAAAGGTAACAACAGTTGTCTACTTGTCTCTATCTTCATTGAAAGAAACCACACTACATATTCACATGTATATGTCCGTCTAGATAGAAACGTGTGTGTATCTTTATGCATCATATTAACAACTATGTATTATTATTATTATTATTATTAGACTTTTAACAAACAACAAAATAAAACGAGAATATTTTTTTTTTTAAAAATAGCCTCCAAGGCACAAATTCCTATGAGCCTTGTAAGGCTCACTGGCGGCTGAGTCTTACAAGGCTCATATGAATTTGAGCGTTGTAAGGCTCATTGAAATTTGAGCCTTATTTTTGGAAACCTAATTTAAACGGTGTGAAGAATTATTGTCCTTTGGGTTTCATAATTAATTGAGTTACCCTTTTGGAATTTTCAAAAAAAATTGTTGCCCTTTTGATTTCGGACTCTGGATTATAGCTTCGTTGTTGGACGTTGTTGATGATTAATGCAATAATTGGGTGAAGAATCAAATATTTGTTATGTTTTGTTTTGTTATAATATTCTTAAGTTTGAGCAGTAAATAATGTAACAAGGATACAACTATTATCCTCCTTTTTGTTTTGTTATAATATTCTAAAGTTTTAAAAAAAATCAAATCAAAATAAAATAATATGTAAATTAAGAAAAGAAAAATTCGTTATTTGTTACTTTTGGTGGAGGGTTTAAATCTTTAATTGTTACTTTTTCTCTTTTTTTTAATCCTGCAAAAATATTGTTGTTACTTTTATTTCTAATTCTGTAAAATAATACGTAAAATAATATATACAAATTACAATATAAAATATAAATAATAATATAAAAACATAAATAAATAAAATTATCATATAAAAATAAAAATAAAAATAAAATTCTTAAATGAAAATTAACCAAACTTATAAGATATGTTAATTAATTAATAAGGGATATAGTGATAAATATTTATATATTAAAAAAACAGAAATTTTTAGTTTCTT